AGCGTCTCAGATCAACTGGAAGCTGTATCGATGGATCAATGGAGAGCTGGAGTCACAGGTCAACAGGTAAATATTGTATCACATCTAAAGGTAACTAGAGTCCCAGATTAGCAGAAAACTGTTATCTAAATATCTAAATGGGTAATATGAGCTAAGTTTGACTGATACGTTATTTTGCTGTTGAAGGCTTTTAGCCGAAATTTACTCTCTTTTCCTTCTTCTGGTTTTTCTGTACCCTGTGTAAAACCCAGAATCCGTATTTGAATAAACTAAACTGGTGAATCCGGAGCGAGAGAGCATTTAAAAATCGCGAAACCGGTGCTGAAAAATATTTAGCCTCACAAATCTGGAATTCTGGGATATTATGGAAAAGTTGCACCCCACATATTAATATGCCTTGCGTTGTTAGCAAACATGTATGTACATTTGTATAGCATGCCGATCGCTTCATCAAACAGATCGCAGAAACGCTGTTGTGTAAAAAACACACAAAAAAAAGAAAAACAAATGAAAAAAAAAACATCTGCATGTACATTCTAATTTATAAACGCACATCGTGTACATAAAGAAATTTCAAGCACAAGTCAATATATTGCCACCATATTGGTTTTGTAAGGTTTATCTCGATCATCGGTTATCTCGACGCTTTTTGGCAAACCCCGAGGACGTCGACAAATCTGGGTTTACTTTAATTACATAATACCTTGTTATGGCAAGGATAAGGTAACGTGTGGTACAGCCATGAGTTATTCTTCAATGTTGTTAGACATTATTTTAAGTATTGTAATCATCATTTAGCAAATATTAAACCATCTGCCTAATGCTGCTATTAAACCATGTGGTCCGAAAACTGCATATATTTTCATCTACTTAGTTGTTCAGATCATTCATTAAAAAAATTGTATTCATCTGAAATAATCAAATGTCTGAACGAGAAGTTTCCAGGACGACTGATCTGCCATCAACGTGTGTCAAGGGAACCAACGTGAACACCAGAACGAGGAACCAGCTAGGGATTTCACGAGCTGCCAGAATTGAATCACGTCGTCATGGGTTTGTTAGCGTAATTTTGACATATCACTGCTAGGAAAAGTATTAAAGACATAAAAAAAAATCCTTTAATTAATTCGAAGACGCATCACTTCAAGCAGGGCTGGAAGTTAACAACCAAAAAAAAAAAAAAAAAAAAAAAAAAAAAAAAAAAAAAAAAAAAAAAAAAAAAAAAAAAAAATTTAAAAACAAAAAAATAAAAAAAAAAAAAAAAAAAAAAAAAAAAAAAAAAATAAAAAAAAAAAAAAAAAAAAATAAAAAAAACAAAAAAAAAAATCTTTTAATAAATGCTAAAACGCAACAATACAAGAAGGGCGGGAAGTAAAAAACCAAAAAAAAAAAAAAAAATGCATGTCTATGATAAGAGAAGAACGGGCATATGAAGCAATTAAATTTGGAAACCACACTTTTGAAAAAAAATATATTTTTAAATACCTAGGATCTTTTTAAATGAAAGAAACAAATTACTAGCAGAAATAAATGAAAGAGTAACAGCCTGAAACAGGCCATACTTCAGTAGTCAGAAAATACTCAAAAGTAAAAACATAACAAGAGAAACAAAGAAAACTATTTATACATATGTAATCAGCCCAGTTGTAACATACGCTAGTGAAACTTGGACCCTAACAAAAACAGCAGAAAAACTATTAAACACATGGGAGAGAAGCGTTCTCACGAAAATATAGAATCAACAAAGAATGAATATGGTTGGAGAATACGAACCAACCAGGAATTGTTTAGTCTATATGAGGATCCAAGATAATAGAAATAACAATGGGCAGACTACGCTGGGCAAGACATTTAGAGAAAATGCCATATGTCAGAAGAGTGAATAAGGCGCATCACCAAAACCACAAAGGAAAACGGCTCAAAGGCAGAACTAGGCTTAGATGAATGGATGATGTGGAAAAAGATATACAACACCTGGGAATCCAAACATGGAAAAGAAAAGCATTAGTCAGGTCTGAGTGGAAGGAAGCAGGAAGGTAGGCCGAAGCCTTACATAGGCTGTAGGCCCACAGGGATAAATATATTAATAACGCCTATTAAATCTTTATAAATTGCCTCTTATATATACTTTAAAACATTTTGTTTTTTTTATATTTCTTTTATTCCCTTAAATAACAGTATGACCCGGAAATGATAGCAGTTCTTCAAGAATTGGAGCAGAGATTTGAAAAAAATAAGAAAAATAAAGAAAGAAATGCAGCTAGCTCTCTAAGGTAAATCAATAATCAAGAAGAAGGAATTCCGTAAATTCATTTAAAAACACCATGATCGGGGCTTGATAAGACGATTTCTGGGTTTTTCCTTTTTGTGTGTGTGTGTGTGGGAAAAGGGGGTGGTTTGGCATGCAGAAATGTGAGTTCTCTTGGGTTTTTTTTTAAATTTCAATGACCTTTATCTCAGTCCCGTCCCTTATATTCCCTCGGCCCTCATTTGCACACACTTAAAACAATTTTTTTAGATGAGAATCCAATAAAAAGCTAAAAAAGTTTATGTGAAATAAAATTTCGATTATTATACCGAATCTATTTTTGGTACTAATTTTATACATAATTTTTTTGTTCCTAAAACAGTAAATTTAAAAAAAAATATTTCCATGGAATTTGCTTTAAATCTATTTAAAGTATTTCAAATGGACAATTTGTAATTTATCTGAAGAAAGTTTTAGTCCTTTGAAGTTCTAAACACTGAAGTTCTAAATAACAATCAACTGAATTTTGGGAACTTTATACTTCATTTTTATACCATGGCCTTCAGATAAATCACAAATTAATAAATATAATAATATGATGCCATTGTAAAAAATCTCATGTCTTTTAACATAATTATTCCGTTCATATACGATTTATTAAAATAACCATTTTTGAAAATCCACACAAATTTATAGAACTTTCTACAAAACAGTTTTTTTCTCTCTTTGGCTGATAAAAATTGATAATATTTACAAGTAATTTTTTTTAAATGTATATTTTAGTTCAACATTTAAAGCGATGCTAGCAGTGTAATGTAATGGAAACCATTTTAGAAGGAATTATTATTAATATTATTATTTTGATTTCATTTATATTTTTTAAGAATTTTAACCACAAAAATGGATTGAAAAAAAAATCTAAGTCACATTACTATTTAGTAAAATGTAAACAATTTGTATAACACAAGCAGGCCCAGCAGAGCCGTCGCTCGGCTTTTCGAGGCTCTCTGACACTTGTCGGTTTTGTCCTCCCTCCCCTTTGAATTCATAGTTGATAATTTTAAAAAGCTTCAAAATATCCGAGGTCCCTTGAAACCGTAGGGGTTGCAGGGCAAACACGGTGGCTCTGAGGTTAAATTGAACCTACATGTTTAGCTAGCATCTCTTCCGTTTCTAACCAAATAAGTTTAGAATGTTGATAAATTAAATTCGTGTACTTTCTAAAATGAATTCATACATTTTGAATTTATCAACCCTTTTCTGGGTTCTATAAAAGATTTAGGGCAAAAAATTATACCCTTTGGGCACCACAATTGGGATTAATTTAATTCATATAGGGTTAGGGCAGAGTTAAAGGTGCTCTTGATCATTTCTATGGCTAAATTTGGCGCTTCCCACCCAAAAGTCTGAAATGTGACCTCAAGATTTTCTGAAAGAAATTTTGAATTCAATTATGCGCCTAAATGCATCCTAAATGCATCCTTGCATTTTGAATTTTCTTGTGTGTCTTCGACACCTTCGATTTTATCACTACTCTTCCCAAACACTGATCAGTGTAACAGTACGGTGTTGAATCTAAGGGTTTGCTAAATTAAAGCTCTAGGGCGCATTAAAAAAGGATTTATTTCAGTTTATGATTGCCCCTGGGTGCCATAATGCCTCCCCCGGACATTTAAAAAATTATTTCCCCTATCAATAGATACATTGAATTGAGGTATAATTAAAAATGCACCAGTTGATTTTAAAATAATAATTTTTTTCTTGGTAGGTAACTACACAGACTTTAATTCTTACTCCCTTTCACAAAAAAACTCTGCATTTATCAGAAAATGCCGCCTCTACATATAATTCAAAATTGAAACCCGGGCAGGCTACCCCTTTTATCCTCTTTTTACGCCTCTGTCAGAGATGTAGCTAGAGTGTTTGGCACCAGGGGACAATGTTCATTTTTACCCCTCGCCCTCAACTCTTGAATCCTTTATTTTAATCCATAAAATGCCATTAAAGTCAATTTTGGCACCCTCGTTAGTCTAGGGCCCCTCTTCCCACCTCAGCTACGCATATGTCCGCTGGCACTGCGTCTCTCCCCAAAAAATCTGAAATGCAACTCCCTGGAGGATATTGTCTGAAATATGAAAGAAACTTGCTGATAACTGGATTAGTCTGCATGTATTTGAAGTTTGAGTGCCCTATCTTGTAATAACTTAATGTCCTTCTCACCTTTCTGTACTAAAAGAGTCTTAAATGCACATATTTTAGGGGCAGAACTTCTTAGACATATAAAATAAATATATTCTCTATTCATAAAGGCTGAAACAGCAGCAGAACGTCAGAGAAGAAGAAGTAGAATTGAAATGGGTCTGCAAGCCAGCATATACTTTCCCGCTTTCTAACTTAATCGAAAATCTTAACTCCAATTCCTATAATAATAAGCTGAAGGATACACCGTCAGATGACATGGATTTAATGGAACAATATGAACACAATGTCATGCTCTGTATAATAAAATTGCGTATTTATCTTGGTATCTCCGCAGAAGATGTGAAAAATTTGTTAATGATATTGAATGATCCAAAAATAAACCATACCAATTTTTGGGACTATGAAAATCGAGAACATTTACTTGATGACCTAAAACAATATTTCAGTGGCCCGGAAGTGAAAAACGGGTTTACTGTATTGTTTTGTAATAGCGTAAAAAAATTATCTGCCTTGAATGGAGAACAACTGAATAGAATCCAAAATAAAATAACTGGATTAGAAATTCAAAAAAATGAAGCAAATAATTTATTATACCAAGATGTAAATGCAAGAACTAAATTATATGAAGATCTAAATATAAAAAGTAAAAAATTAGAAGAAAAAACTGAATTATATAAAAACCTAAAAGAAAACAGAAGGTTGTATGTAGCGAGAGCTAATAATGCATCACATAATGCAGCTGATGTACATAGTTTAAAAATAATGGAATATTTCCATTGTTTACTACCTACAGATATAAGTTTTAATATTTTCTCAGATGACAATTTATTTAGAGACCTTAATAGAGGTGACCACTTTGGGAAACGAAGGGTTATTCAAAATCCTCCTCCAAAAAAACAGAATAAGATTAATAAGACTAACAATAAAAAAGATGTTAGCATGGATCAAACACGTAAATCATATTTTATTGAAATTTATGTTACTTCAGAAAATACTTTTTTTATATATGACTCAAACTCATTATCTTCCATAAAAGTGAAAAAAATTATTCAAGACAAATATAAACATTTGTGTAATTCTTCTGATGATTTCTTAAATAACCCCATAAAATATTCATGCGATTGTAGCCAAATAAAATTTTCAATTTTAAGGATTGTTTGGGTTTTGGAACGTAAATTAAACTCGCCCAAGATTGTGATTTTATCAGACAACGCACAAATATTTGCTACATTTGAGCGATGTAACGTACAATTTCATAATCTTAATGATGAAAAAAAAAAAAAGCGTTTTAAGTTTTTACAAAAAATTAAATTGCATTTTTTTTTTTCTTTTTTTTTTTTTTTTTTTTTTTTTTTTTTTTTTTTTTTTTTTTTTTTTTTTTTTTTTTTTTTTTTTTTTTTTTTTTATAAAATTTTCAATTTTAAGGATTGTTTGGGTTTTGGAACGTAAATTAAACTCGCCCAAGATTGTGTTTTTATCAGACAACGCACAAATATTTGCTACATTTGAGCGATGTAACGTACAATTTCATAATCTTAATGATGAAAAAAAAAAAAAATTGTTTTATTTTTTTTTTAAATTTTTATTTTTTTTTTTTTTTTTTTTTTTTTTTTTTTTTTTTTTTTTTTTTTTTTTTTTTTTTTTGTTTTTTTTTTTTTTTTTTTTTTTTTTTTTTTTTTTTTTTTTGTTTGTTTTCTTGTGGTATTTTTGTGCTTTTTAAGTACCGATAAAATTGTTAACTATATCAAATTTTTTGGTTGTTTTCTGTAATCCATACATTGTTTTTTTACATAAGTGTGTGTAAAATTTATAAGAATTATTTATTTTTTTGGGTTCTTTAAATTGTGATTGTTAAAAGTTTTTTTTTTTTCGGCATTTTAAGAAAAAAAACTATTTTAAAATAAAATGAATTATTAAAAATGTATATTTAAAACTCAAAATATATACGTTTCGTTTTTAAAAAGCTAAATCATGAAATTAATCATCAGAATTATGTATAGACGCTGTTCCAATCATGACGATTTTTTGCTTTTGTGCCACGTGTACCAGAATTATTTTAATAATGTTCTATATCCTCTTTAATTCTAATGATGATTTCTTGTATTTCAAATTATTTAAACAGATAGTCATCTAATTTTTAAATGTGCCATAGACATTATTAGGGTCTATGTTGTAAAGTTTAAGCTCTGCCGCATCAGAAGCTCAATATTCATGATTTCAAACACCTCGTAAACAGTGCTTTACACTCAAACTGCTACCTCAAATTTTGTATCGTGAAATAAAGTATAAAGTTTTTTAAAAATATTTCAAAGTTTTCCTACCCTAATAGGAAAGAACTAAATAAACGCGCAAGAATAATTTCTCTTAAAGCAGAAACTATTCTATGAATTTTTTATTTATAAAATGTTTAATAATAGAAAGGAACTCATTTTTTTTTAAAAAGACGTATCAAATAATCCTAAAAAATAACATTATTTCCCATTAAATCATTCAATAAGTCTTCTCCGTATACATTGTTGTCGGGAAGGGGTTGAGTAGAGTCCTGTCGTATAGAATTGGTGGTAAAAAGACGGTAAATGTGTATCTCTAACAAAAAATAGGTTAACAATTTTACGCCGATTGAAAAAGCAACAAGATCATGTGAGAGCGAAGGCTTGGCCAGGTTGAGGGGCGGGGGGGGGGGGGAATGCATCTATCATCGCCAAAATAAGCCAAAACGGCGACCATGGGCAGCTCTTATTTCGCCCCCCCCCCCCCCCCCCCAGTTGGGCGCTAGTGAGATTATGCTTTTTATCCCAGCTTGGTGCCGCTCCTTGAATCTATTTTATATATACCAACAATTTAAACAAATTTAAAGGAAATAATATATTAGTAATTTCAAGAAAATGATTATATTTACTTAATTACTTGCACCTTTTTTGTCAGTAAAAATATTGGCTATATAGTAATTTTGATTTGAGGGTTGGGGCAGATATCGAGGATGACAAAAGCTACCCGCCCCCACACCATAAATGTTTTTAAAATATATTCCAAATATGGGACTGCATTTTGGAACAAACCTGAATTAAGCTTTGCAACATTCTACAATTAATCGGAAAGTAACAGAAGATATGCTATTAAAAATTGTGTCTTTTTTTTTATCTTCATTTTTGGTGTTAGTACCGTTGTATGGTTTTGCAAATGTATTCATTTTTAAGATTTGGAACGTCAGATGAACAATGTGTAACAAGGGACTGAAAACCAGTACGGTAAACAAAGAAAAACAATGTCAAAGTTACTTATATTAAAAATATAAACTTTAATTATATTATGTAATGTACATACAAATTACAAGATCAAATGTACAGAAATAAAAATTGTATTAACTTACAGCACACATGAAAAAGTGTAATCCTTGAAATAAACAAATATTAATCAACACAAACACAAAGAGAAAAATTGTTAAGTCTTGTAAGTTACGTGTCTTGAAAATCTAGCAAATCTCTTCCGTCTAGTAAAGCTGCTAGCTTGTTTATTTGGAGAAGGGGGGGTGGTAGAACACTCCAGACAAAAAGCTCTAGAATTGCATCACCAAAGGCATATTTTATAACAAATTAGAACGTAAACAACTTTTTTCCAATCAGAGAAGAGGTGGGTAATGGTAGAGCCCAGTTACACATTTAACCAGTAACGTCAATATCAAATCATAGAGAGGCTGAATGCCAAGGCTTTTGGCGAACAAAAACTAGGTCCACACACAATCTATAACACCTTCCCACTTTAAAAAAAAAATAATAATTTTCATTTTTCATAATGTAAAATTCTTTTTCCATTAAAGAACTATTATCAAAATAAAAGAGAATGCATTTATATAATTCAAAATATTTCACAAATGCACTTAACAACTTACAAGATAAGCAGTTACATTATTCCAGGGGTAGAGTCAAAGTATGATTTAAACTGTGATCATCTTCTTGAAGTTGATTATTATTAGTATTTTTTTTTTCATTCGCGTTCCTATATAAAATGATGGTACCAGTGATTTTTTTGTAATTGAAAGCATTCAAAAAAAAATGTCATTTATTAAATTTTTAGTTAACCCACATGAAGGTTTAAATTAAAAATGAAAGCCACACTACTATTTTGTAATATTAAAAATATGTATGCATAACACAACAACGTCAAGCTGAGTCGTCACCCGTCTTTTCGAGATCCCTTATGCTACATTTTAGTTTTGTTCTCCCCCCGCTTCAATTGAAAGATGATAAGTAAGAAAATATCCACATTACATCTTTAATCCTCTAAAATGTCCGAGGCCCACTGCAGTCGTAGGGGTTGCTGGGTCAACACGATGTTTCTAAGGTTAAGTTACACCTACATTTTCTTAAACTAACATCTCTTCATGGGCCAAAGGATTACCCTGCCCACACTACAATTGGAATGAATTCAGATTATGTATGGCATTGGCATCATAATGCTTCCACAGACCCTTAACCACCCCCCCCCCCCCCCCCCACACCCCCCCCCCCCCCTGATCAAAAATTCTAATAGAAATATTTATTTCAAGTATACTCAAAAATGCACCTCTTGATTTTGAAATAATAAAATAAATTCTCCCCCACACTCATCGACCGCTCCTAAATATACTGTGAGTTTAGTGTTGACAAAGGTTCTAAAACAGAATTTCCACAAAGTATATTCTGAATAGAAATTCTGGACAAACTCGTGATCTAGGGGTTGTGAAAAGGGGCTAACACCAATGTTCCCATTAAGCTGCGCGGCAGCGCAGTAATCTCACAGAGGCGCGCAGCAGTTTTGAGTACCGCGCAGCTAATTTCCACTTCAGGGTGTGTTTGTGTCTGTAGGCTGTAAAATTTGCGCACAAAAAAATTGATGATGATCATGTGAATTTTTTGTGTGGTGTTGATTTAATTCCAGGAGTTAAATCTTAAATGGAAGAGGGGAGATATGTCAAGTATGGGAGTTCATTGATAATTGTTGTGACTGAATATTATTTTTAATACGTGAGTTATGTGTTTGAGAGTTTTTATTAGTTAGTGAACACTCTTCCCGTCCTTGACTCTGAGACATAATTTTATGTTTTAATAGTTGATGTGTGATAGCGAGCTGCGCTTCATTCATGTTTTTATGTCTGTATTATATACTTAGATATTTAAGTTAAATTTATTATCAAAAGGATTTGAGTTTATTCAGTGATTAGTAAGAATAGTACGACGTATTCAACGTTTGAACGAACTTGACGAATTAATCAATCCAAGTAGAGCATAGGAGTTGACGCCAGCCCACTGGCCACAGTTTGCTGACACCTGCTAAATAAAATCGGAATGTTAGAAATTGATTTCTTTAACGATTTCATAAAATTAACGGTGAAATGGGTGTTTTCTTCCATTATGTGTTAACAATGTGTGTAACCACAGTAGACTCTATTGGTTAAGATCTCCGTTTTTACGGAATTTATAGGAATATTAGTGATGACAATATTTTCAGTACTTCATGTAAAATTTGCCTCAAGATTAGTTTATAAATAAATTTAATTATGACAGGACTAAAGCCATTATTGTAATTAAGTTAATTTTTTTAGGTACCGGTATCATTCAATCTCATAGGATGTACGGCATTCAATATATAACATTAAATAAAGAAGATATCCTATGAATGGAGTTTAACAGGCAATGTACTTAATAAATATTGTCTGGGCTCTATTCGCTCCTTTTCAGTTAAATATTATGGGAAAATATCGTGTGTAATTAAATTGCTAGTGTTGATTCATGATATCATTTTATGTATCTTTAAACATATCACAGTTCAAGCAACAGTGAAATTAATGAAAGGCCTACGTCGTTGACAAAAGTCCTTACATACAAGCACACGAGCTTAGGAATATATCCTGTGATTTTTTTGTAACGCAGGCCAGTGTGTGTCTTGGCATACTAAGGGCAATAGAAAGCCCAGAGATGCATCTGTCATAGAATACCCTAAATAGAAAGCCCAAACCTATCTTTGTCATGGAAGAAGCCTACACCTCGGTAGACGAGGTACGGCCAAACTGCAGCCAGCGGGCGGGCCGCGGCTCATCACGATAAAATTTGCATCCTAAATACATTTTCACTTTCTGTCATTTAAAAAAAAATATGGTTCCACAGTTAATAATATTAAATAATTTTTTTTTAAAGTTTTATAAAAAATTAATCTATGCAATGTATGTGTGTGAGTTGGAATGTGCTGATGTAATATATTCTGAAAAGTATGTGCATTAATAATAAATACGTTATATGTAAATCATTTATGTTGGTGTTTATTTTATTAGTAAGATAAAATGACATGCAGTCTGGGAAGAGTTGACTCGCGATCAAAATGGCGCTAGAGCTGAACCCCTTTGGGGTAGCCCACGCCACTGGTTCTAGACTTTAGATGTCAATACGTTTTACTACAAGTGATTTAAAAAGTGGGGTGGGGTGTAGTGGTGGGGACTCGGGTAGTGCTTGGGTTCAAAGGGTCCAACTTGCCAGGTAACCATACCGTCTTCCATCTCAGTCTCAGACATTTTTTACTGTGTATGCCACTTTACTTTTTGTAAAACAGCCTCTAAACCAACGCGCACATTTATCTTTTCATTTGTCTCGTCAATCATTACATCATATCTATTACCGTACTAACCTCTTGACTTGTACGACACGACCCTATGTTTAACCTACCAACAGAGATTATTATTTTACATATTTCTTCTTCACCCGTCTGTCTCAATGACCGTATCGACCACAATATGCGCTGGTGTATATTTAAACGCAGGTTGTTCTTGGAAACGGTGAACGCTTGGCTACACACACACATATATAAACCAAGTCAGTGTGTTCTTAATTACTGAAGCATGCCAATAAAGATTGACACAAAAGCGGCAGTAACCCGAGACACGACAGATCTAGCAGTCTACAACTACAACACTAAAGTGGGCGTACTAATTTTTAATAGTTCAAAACAATGTCATTAGTTTAAGTAAATAATTAGATCTTTAACTTTAAATTTTCACTGGATGCTCCAGGTCACGGATAATTATGTTATCAGATTGTGTTTATAAAATCAAATCATGAAATGTGAATACTAGATCTATGTAAAGAAGGTAACAACGTTACGACAAAGACTATCACTTGATTCATGTCCGGTTCATAAGGAAATAAATTCATCAAAGTTATAAGACGTAAAATGAAAATTGTATCTTTGATTCGGTGAATGGTTTACGAACTATGGCGTGTTGTTGAATCTTATACTTTCATTTTGTAACATAAACAAATCGTTAAATGGGTTGGTGTGTTATTTTATTTCATGTATTCATGACATTCCTATTTCAACACGTATTGATCAGAAGGTTTAAGTATGCGGCCCCCTGCATTGATTATTCGATTCAACAAGCATATTTTCGACTTTCGTATATTTATATTTATATGTTTGTATATTCCTATTTTACAGTGATTCTCGAAGTAGGGGGGGGGGGGGCGTAACCTATGGGGGACTGTAACAGCCCAAGGGCAGATAAAGGTTTGGTAGCATGAGACACCCTTAAACAACTGGTTTAATCAAATCAATTACTTAAAATAAATGTATTGCTGTTAGTTGTTTTGTTTTTTTATGGCATTAAATGTCAGTCATAGATCAGTCCGAAGTAATTTATTTTGTCCGACACAATGTAGAGAAAAACACTTTTCAAAAAGAAGTGCAAGTGGCTATAACACTCCAAGAATGGGAAGTCTAACCAGCCGCTGTGAGCAGACTGCACCTGGCAGTGGACTTAAATTCCATCAATTGACGTAGTTAAAATAAATTCACCTTTGTCGGGCCAATGATTTTAAACTTAGCCCCCCTCCCCCCCCCACACACACCCAAAAAAAAAACCCACTTACGAAGACACTCTACAGTTGGTCGAAAATGGTGCCCCTAAATATAAAGAATTAATAAAGTCGCTTCCCGCTCCACTTTTCTAAGCTAGTGTGCGCGGCCGTCGATCAAAAAAAAAAAAAAAATTGTTTTGAAAAAAATTGTTTTTCTTTGAACACTTGGCTGAGAAAATTCAATACCGGTGACAGGTCTTCATCATCAAATTGTATTTACGTGTTGATTATTTTAGCCATGTCGATCTTCGCCTGTCTGATATCTTGGAACGTTGTGTGAATCATTTCATATGATCTGGCTGTTGCTTCAAGTATTAAATTTTAGTGGTAAAATATGTAGCCTACCATCCCTAAGGTGTGAACACAATGAATGGCTGAAGCAAGCTCAAGAAGAGTTCGATAAACACTTGAAATGTTTCCATTAAAAAATAATAAAAGTTGAGTATAATAATATATCCGGGTGACGCCAATGGAGATTACGACCATCTGGAACATTTACAGGTTGCAATCCGTGGTGGGATTCAGCCGGTTCAATAGAACCGTTACCCGGTACCGACTACCTTGCTGACTTCGGAGACTCGGTTGTTCAGTTGGCATTTGTAATCGGGGTTCTCTTCAATGTGTGCTTCTTAGTTACGCATTTCTTTTTTTTATTTTATTTTTATTATTCTTTTTTTTTTTGGCTTTCATTCTCCCTGAAAGATAATATATATTTATAATTATTCGCTCATCTACTACTGCTAGTTGCTATGTGGAACATAAGAAGGTCGCCATGTGTCGACGATTTATTCATCTCCTTACGGTCTTCATGCTTGGACTTCGTGGAGGTAACCTTTGTGTAACGTAAAAATATACTGAAAAATATTAACAGAGTATTAATCTAAATACTAATATTTGACAGCAAATTGGATTTAAATAACTTTTACTTTTTTGTATTTCAAATCAGCAGATACTTAAATAGATAAGTAGGCTAGGTATAAATTTAAATATCTTACTTTCATCTTTATTTGATTTATTATTTAGAATTCGTTAGGGTTAGCACAAGAAAATGTGTGACTGTTGTCTTTTAATACACTCTTGAATACTTTATAAATTACACGGTGATTACGTTTGATAACTAGACATCTCAACCAACTGCACCAGCGCAAGTGTTGATCCAAATTTGTATAATTTATTTTTAATAACTTATAAACCGACTATTTTTGCATGCAGTAGTATTTTTAACCATCCATATAAGCTGCTTTTTAAGACCTTTCACCGATATTATACGCCAGGGGTTTCTCAAACTTTATAATGAGAGGTTCGGTTCATGTTCCTCAGACAATGTGAGACGCTGGTTCAGTGTCCTTCAGACACCGCTGGGGCGAACTTAACTTTTAAAAACTATTAAAGAGTTACTATGCACACTCCACATATTTTATTGATAGTGTTAAAAAGCAAGAACAAATAATGCACGCTTTAAAACGAAGAGCAACGTTAATCAACAAAAAAATTATTTGTATTTCAATGTAAGGAATGTTCTTGCTTTTTGTTAATTAGACAGTCTATGTCCAGTTCTATATTGGTCCCTTCTGCCCAGGTTCCCGAACGACTGCCAGCTGGGCCGGGTTAAGGACCCCTGGTGTTCAGGATCTGGTCCGCGTGCCGTAGCTTGAGGATCCCTGCTATACGCCAATTAGAATGTCAACGTTTTAAAATAATTATTAAACTTTCACCTCTGATTGATCAATTTTTGACTGTTCGATGTCTTCTTCTTTCTGTCCTCTGTAAGATCCAGCTGTAGCCACTGGACAACTAACCATCAATGGACAGAAGATGTCCACAAGTGAGAATTGCAATGTCAGCGTCGAGGAGGCTTTAACTCTAGAGGTTGGCTGCCCTGGTCTCGTGACGTCATGCCTGATAGATGTGTACGTGAATGATTCCACCGTGGTCAACCAGAGCAGGAACCACGCAGTGTTTACAGAGACGTATAATGTGGGGTCACTCTTACGGCTGACAGTAGATTTTCCCGGACTTGATAAGAACGGGACAAACACGAATATCAGCTGTTTAGTTCAAACTGGTAATTTTATAACCACAAAATATCTGTAGCAATCAAAATCCTTTATACATGGGCGGCGTCTATGGTTGAAATACATCTTGAAATTTTGTCAAAGTTAACTGGTCATAACAATTGACTGTGCTCATGGCATCCATGGTATGTTTATCCAACATGTGTAAAGGGGTAATATAACGTACTTTGTTCAATGAATTCTCCATTTAATGTGTACACATACAAAAATAATAATTTATTTGATCAATTTTTGAAGCTGTGAGCCAGATTTAAGGGGTAACAGAGTTATGTAAGCCAGATGTAAGGGGTAATAGAGTTATGTGAGCCAGATTTAAGGGGTACCAGAGTTATGTGAGGCAGATTTAAGGGGTAACAGAGTTATGTGAGCCAGATTTAAGGGGTAACAGAATTATGGGAGCCAGATTTAAAAGGTAGCAGAGTTATTTGAGGCAGATTTAAGGGGAAACAGTGGCTTGGGAGCCATATATGGTGAATGGGGGAGAGCGTTTTACTCGAATCGTAGGAAATTTATTATTTCAAAAGAACAGTGAAACAATCCCTTAGAGCCGGGGTCTCCAAACTACGGACCCTAGGCCGCATGTGGCCCGCGAGGCCCTCTCATGCGGCACGCGGAGACCTTTTTGTCTACGGAAAAAATTACGGAATTTAACATGTACCCTGCCAAGATCAGACGCCACTTACGTGGACGTTATGTTTTTACCGAATTAAAATGTAGGCGCACAGTAGTGCGTTATGTTTTCTAACCGATCATTACTTGGCAAAACCTTATTCGCTGTTTAGTTTTTATATTTCCGTTCACAGTCAGTGAGATGATATAACGCCATCTAGTGGCGGAGCTTTGCCCGCCGTGTTGCAGAAATAGGTGAAAACATTGTGACTCAAATAGCGAAAAAATGCAAGCAAGTTTTGCCAATTTTTAATTGCCATGGATGAATCGCTGGACAGCTGTCCCACCTCTCAACTGCTTGTGTTCGTTAGAAGTGTGGATGAAGACATGAACATAACACAAGAGCTGGCTTCCCCTACATAGCATATACGACATGTTACCGGAGAGGATATACTCAATGATTTGAAGAAAAAAAAAGCATTTGCTGATTATAACTTGGACTGGACTAACCTCAGTTGCCTGACTGTTCGTGGAGGAAATAACATGAGTGGCATAAAGAAATGCTTGGTTGGACAAGTGAAGCAGATGTGTAATGAGAAAAAAATTCTGCAACCAATTTTCCTGCACTGTATTATTCAGCAGTAAGCTCTGTGTGCTAAATATGTTGACATTAGCAGTGTACTGAATCCTGAGGTGAAGAGGGTTAATTTAGTAAGGTCACATGGGCTCAAACATAGACAGTTCAGAAACCTATTGAAAGATACGGACACATAATCGCAAGATTTACCATATTACACAGCAATAAGATGGCTAAGTTGTGAGAAAGTTCTGAACAGAGTATTTCAGTTAAGAAAGGAAATAGGTGACTTCCTGGAAAGTAAAGGCAAGCCACAGCCATTACCGTCTGATGAAGATTGGGTATGGAAATTGGTCTTTTGCATACATATATAGTCATTTATATTTTCTTAATCTAAAACTACAAGGAGAGGAAAATCTAGTTTCTGATCTATGCACCCACCTAAAGGCCTTCAGATCAAAATTCGTCGTGTTTTTTTGGAACTATTAAAGGCCAACAACTTGACACACTTTCAGCAGAGCAAGGTCTTCATGGCTGAAACAACAGCGGAGTTCCCCACGTCATTTGCATGCGAGATCATCAAAGACCCCCAGCTGCAGTTTCAGCAGCGATATTCTGACTTGGATTCAAAGGCAGAAGAAGTGAGACTTTTTCAAAACCCATTTAAAGCAGATGTGGCCAGTCGCCCAGATGAACTGCAGCTGGAGGTCATTGAGTTGCAAGCTAATGACCTCCTTAGGACAAGTTGGACCGTTGGGTTTTTAACTAGTTTTTGCCCAAGAAAGACTTTGCTATTTTCAAAACATATGCATCAATGTACCTTTCAATCTTTGGAACAACATACCTGAGTGAACAAACATTTTCAAGAACGAAATACGTGAAGAACAATTTTAGAACTAATTTTCCGATGATAATCTCAGGTGACTGTTGATGTTAGTGACATCAAATCTAAATCAAGAAATGTCTGCTAATCGCTGCTGTTTTGGCATCCAGGAAACAATTTCTCCATTCCCACTAATACAGGTTTTCATGTGTCGTGTATCAAATGTGTTACTAAATAAAAACTGAATAAAATTAAAATACATAAATAATTAAAAACAACATTCATGTTTTGATTATTTTTTATTTGGACCTCGATTGTGTAGTCGGCCCTCAAAATGCTATTTGATAGTTAATGCGGCCCTCGGGCTGAAAAGTTTGAGGACCCCTGCCTTAGAGTATTGACATCCAGGGACGTCATTTAGGTAGGGAAAAGTGTGGCATTCCCCCCCTCCCGAATGTGCAGGTTAATTTAAATTGCTATGTACTGTGGCGCCTCCAGTAATAAACAATTTTACAAGCCGACATTTTTTTTTGTATCATGCAAGTATGAAACACCAAGTTAAGAGATCAAGTTAAAGCAGGTAGTCAGTCAGATAGTTGTATGAAACACCAAGTTAAGAGATCAAGTTAAAGCAGGTAGTCAGTCAGTTAGTTGTATGAAACACCAAGTTAAGAGATCAAGTTACAGCAGGTAGTCAGTCAGTTAGTTGTATCTGTATCACAAAATTCCGTTCGGAGGGAAACAATGTTGAAAATAGTTTAACATCTCTGAGACTCTGCTAAACAGGTTTTTATTATTTGGGTGTTGTAGGGTTGTGTTGTTTTTTTTTAATAACAATTTTTTTTTTTTTACAAATAAGCGATAATATTTGTGTTTTTTTTCAGGACCCAAACCTCAATCCCAAGAATGCAAGTCTACCCACATTTATCTAGTTGCCCTCATTATTCCATTCTCGTTGATCGCCTTCAGATTAACATTCCTTTGGATTCACATCGCTAGAAGAAAAGTAAGTTGCACATCTTTCATGGAACTAGATTAAGTTTGAAGCCAGTATTATTTATTTTTTTTAGACAAACCTTGTTTTTTTTTTTTAAAACATGTTTATAACATAAGATGGCCGCAATCAGTGACGTCCTGGTGTGATTCCAAAAAACGTGCGCCCCCTCAACATTTACGCACATTATTTATATAACTGTATAAATAAACACAAAAAGCCCCACCCGGGGCGGGCGCCCCTTCCACACTATAGGCTTGCTACTGGCCGGGATAATAAATAAATGATTTAATTTAAGATCTGAGCACTCTCTCTGTGGAGGTGATAAAACTAACCGATAATTATGCCTTTGTCTAAAAATTCCGACTCTTTCTGAAATCAATTATGTTAAACTACTTGCTATCTGCTAATTTATATATATGTATATATTATTATTTATTTTATTTTTTTTTTTTTGTGTGCAGAAATTAAAACAGGAGGCCTCGGTGTTGCTAAAGGAAACACGGGATCTAAAATCGAGTTAACAAAAATTGTGATTATAAAAAATGTAACAAAGGGTTTAGATATTTTGGGTTCCAGTGTAAGATTAAAAAAAATTAAAGTATATTCAGATCAACTACACTGGTTAAAGTGAGATTAATTTAGAAAACAAAACCAGTTTTAAACAGCTTAAAGTCTTTAGAAGAAGTTCTTAACATTTTGTAATAAGTATACTTATAAGCTAATGGTAGCGACATTATTTTTCTATTATAAAAAAAAAGTGGGGGGAAAAAGGGGGAAAGGGGGGGGGGGGCAATATTCAATTATGTAAAAAAATCTAAACAACAGGGGCGAAGTAAAATTGTTCTAGCAGGGGCGAGGTAAAATTGTTCCAGCAGGGGCAAGGTAAAATCGTTCCAGCAGGGGCTAGTTAAAATTGTTCCAGCAGGGGCGAGGTAAAATTGTTCCAACAGGGGCGAGGTAAAATTGTTCCAACAGGGGCGAGGTAAAATTAATTCCAGCAGGGGCTAGGTAAAATTGTTCCAACAGGGGCGAGGTAAAATTGTTCCAACAGGG